TATTCACTTACACATAAATAAAATAGTTAATTCAACTCTTGAAGCCTGAGGGTTACCATCTTCTTACTCTGAAAGGTAGGATTTTTCCTTTCTATGTGGCTCTTGTGTTTCCTGAACAGTTCAGCCGTGGGAGAAATGACACTTTCATTCTTGTAATGAGGCACCATTAGCCAGAGGCCTTTCGTAAGGCTGTAATTTCAAACTTCATTACAGATTAAGGCAGCCATACCACTGATTACTCAGGAAAATACGTGTCTGTTGTGACTCTCCAAAGAGCTGTACATTTTTAATGCACCTTGTTAAAATATTTATGAACAGTGTCACCAACAGAGGGCATCTGTCTTTGAAACATGTTGGGTCCCAAGGATAGTAATTGAGTTTCACCGTCCTCACTAAAGAATGATTAGAAAAATAAAAGTTAAAGGTATATGTCATAGTTTGAAATTCTTTCTGATTAAGTTATTATTTACTAGCAAGGTACAGGAAATATGTAGGCCTATATCTAGGAGTTTTAATTTTTTTACCATCAGAGTAGAGTCTTAATCTGAAGGTACCCAGCTAAATTCCAATCAATGAGAATGAACATTCTCATATTGTACTTCCTTTCAACATCTGTCTTCTGGGAAAAAGTGTATGTCTAAGTCAGTCCTTATCTTTACTAGTAGATTTAACTTCTCAAAATACTTTATTTTCAAATTTTTCAGCTTTTGACCCAAAATATTTATTTTATGAATTCATCCTACATATATTCTTGTTAATGTATGCAATGGTGTATATTTGTAGAGAGTATTCTGTCTTACATTGTTAATAAAGGACTAGAAAAATTCGTGTTTATCTATGCAATATAGTTCTATGCACTGGTTAAAAATAACTGTAGTTTTATTATCTCTAATTGCTGTATAATTCATTAATTTAAGTTTTTATATTTTTATTGAGGTAATATTGGTTTACAACACCATGTATGATTCACAGGTATAGGTTCACACTTCTTCAGTTGCATGTTATCACACCACACCCACCACCAAGGCACCCGAGTTGCGGGCCCCCTCCACACTTTGCTGCCCACCTCCCACTCTCTCCTTCAGTTCTGCACTTAGATTTCTAGGGTTTGTTTTGTTTTGGTTTTCTCAAAAATACTTAAAGGTGTTGACTTTCTAGAAAAAAAAAAAAATTTAAGATTTAGACCTGACCCTGAGCTATGCAGTGCTTTACTTCAGAATAGAAATTACAGTCTAAAGGACTCCAGGGCTGAGTTAGAGTTTTATAACTATCCCTGAGCAATGGGAAGCATGCCTTCTAAGTACGAGAGAAAATAGCGCCCAGCTACTTTGATACCGTCCATCAACTGTATCTTCCTAATTTGAGTCCTTTAGCCCAGAGGGTATCCAGAACTGCTCCCCTCTAGCAGGCATGGAGGTTATAGCTGTCAAATGAAACATAGAACAGTGTGTATCAGTTCTCTTAATATACATGTATGTAAAAACGTAGACCAATGTTATCTTGATTAAAAGAAAAAGAAAACGCGTGTATGTGTGTGGCTGTATGCACACATACTCACACTCATGTGCATCAAATTTCATGGAAGTGTTTGTTTCAAAAAGTTAATTATTGTGACCTCAAGTAGTATACCTTCTTATATATTTCTTCAGATATTTCCAACATTAAGATCATAGCAGTATATGTTAAATTTTAATTTCCTCTGTACATGCCATGCAAGAGTAATTATTTTTTCAAATCTGTAAAAAATACAATGTATTCTGTTAATTTTCAAATAGTAGAATATCAGAAGTGAAACTTTAATGAGGAAATATATACAGCTCAGTGTCTTCAAGAGTGTTACAAGAGCATTTGTTACTTAACACAACTCCCTTTAATTTAGAAAGATTTAGATAATTTCCTTTTTTTTTTAAGATTTATTTATTTATTTATTTATACAAGCACTGGGTACAGTCAGAAGCGCGGGAGGGTGAGAGAATTCACCAGAGCCAGCAGGGAGCAGAACAGGCAGAAGAACCGAAGTACACTGCTGAGGGGAGCAGCGGGCGGCAGGAGAGGTCTGCGCGCCATGTGGGACCCTTGCCCAGCAGCCGGGGATCGAACCGGCATTACAGAGGCTGCGCACAGCTTCGCAACCCAGCACTCAACCGCTGCGCCACCGGGGAGGCCTGATTTAGATAATTTCTCCCTCTTTTTAACTTTAATTTGGTTTACATTATCTCTGATCAAGTTATATATAAAACAAATAGTTGTCCTCTGTCTATTTATTAGAATTAGTGAGCAAATCCATCTATCTACCCACAGTCTATACCAAGTTCTGTGACAGTACAACCAAAGACACCTGTTCAGAAAGACAAATGAATCTAAATGTGTTCTTTTCTTGCATTGTTGTTTTGAAGCAGTTCTGTTTATGCAGTCACAGTACTGGGGCAATTATCTTGCAAATCTGCACTGGCATCCCAACACCTGGAAGCGTCAATGTGTGAAATGAACACCCTGAGCAGCTTCCTTAACTTACATAAAATAGAAGCTGGATATTCAAATTACAGGTGTTTGATTTTTGCAAGGTGTATTTATGACTTCAGAACATCATTGTGGTGCATTCCAGACAATGTTTACACATTAATTAATCTCATGCTTTTAATTACTTGCTTTTTTCCCCCCATCCTCCTCAACATCATGGTCTCACCATTACAAATTCATGATACAAAAAGTCCAAAATTTCTGTATGCTGATTTTGGTCCATGGGAAGGTTTTGTTAGGTCTATAGAATATACTTTAAAATTTAGAACTGGTTAACCATACTAATTAGATAAGTTCACTTTAAAAGTCCAGATTTGTGGACCATCTTATTAAAAATAAGAGCATTTGGCTTTAGTGATATCTTTGGGGGGGCTTGATTCCAACAGCAAGGGAAACAAAAGCAAAAATAAACAAATAGGACTACATAAAACTAAAAAGCTTTTACACTAGAAAAGAAACCACCATTAAAATGGAAAAAAAAAAAACCCTTCCAAATGGGAGAAAGTATTTACATGTCATACCTCTGACAAGAAGCTGATATTCAAGATCTATAAAGATTTCATACAATTAAATAAAAAGAAAAAAACCTAATCAAAAAGGGGGCAGAAGAGCTAACTAGAAACTTCTGCAAAGAAGACGTAGGCATAGAAAACAGGCCTATGAAAAAGTACTCATCATTGCTTATTATCAGGGAAATGCAAACCAAAACCACAATGAGATACAACTTCATTCCTGTGAGAATGACTCTTTTCAAAACAGAACAGAAACAAGTGTTGGTGAGAATGTGGAGAAGAAGGCACCCTCTACGCTGCTGGTAAGAATGTAGACTGTTCTAGCTCTTGTGGAGAACAGTACAGAGAGTTGTCAAAATATTAAAAGTAGAACTACCATATGATCCAGCAAATGCACTCTTAGGTATCTACCTGAAGAACCTAAAATCACAAATTCAAAGGCATATATCATTTCAGCACTATATAATACAATAGCCAAATTATGGAAACAACCTAGGTGCCTGATGGGTAGATTAAGATGCGGTGTATATAAATAATGTACTACTACTCAGCTATTAAAAAAATAAAGATTAAAAAATCTTTCCATTTGCAACATTGTTCGAACTAGAGAGGATTATGCTAATAGAAATAAAGTAGAAAGAGGAAGACAAATACCAGATGGTTTTACTGATACGTGGAAATACAGAAAAATAAACTAAGAAACAGAGAAAAACTAAACCAAACAAACCCCAGAAATCTGACTGTAGAATTTAGAGAGCCAGAGCAGCGTAGAGAGGGGGGCAGCTAGGGAGCAGTATGTGGAGGGGCTCAGTGGACTATTATGGAGGACCAAGAGTGCCTTGGTGGTGGGTGTGTTATGGTAACATACATACGAAGACGTGTGGTCCACCTCTGAATTGTATAATAGTGGTGTAAACCAATGTTACCTCAATGAAAAGAAAATGCAATTTTTTTTTTAAATGTTTATTTATACAAGCACTGGGTACAGTCAGAAGCACGGGAGGGTGAGAGAATTCACCAGAGCCAGAGCGGGGAACAGAACAAACAGACTGACGAAATACACTGCTGAGGGGAGCAGCTGGCGCCGCAGGAGTGGTCTGTGGCGCCACATGGGACCCTAGCCTGTGGCCAGGGATCCAACCGGTGCTGCAGAGGCTGTGGGCAGCTTCGCAGCCCAGCGCTCAAGTGCTGCACCACCAGGGGAGGCCCGCAATTAATTTTTTTCAAAGAGGATTTGTTAACACTGGTGACCTTACAAGGGGAAAGCCAGTGACATTTTCCTACCTTCATCCCCTTTTCCTAATTTCCCTTCTCCTGACCACACTGAGTATTCAACTCTGATTCTCTCTTAAATCTGTGTGTAGACTTAGTTGTGCCCACTGGCTGCAGTGAATTGTCACGTTTAACTTTTTGCACTTCAGTTTTCTATATTAAAAAAGTGAGTAGTCTATCTGATAACTGTTGTCCATGTACCTTTTAACAATTTGTGTGAATTTTTAAGACCACTTTAAAATTATTTGTTGCTACTTTAATTTATATTTTAAAAATGATTTTGTTTCTTAGGATTAGTTCTATAGTAAACACCTCTGATTCTTTAGTTAAAAATTAAATATGTTTTAAGTGAGTTTTGTTTGACATGCCTTTTTCTTAGGAAATTTTAAACCAAAGATAGAAGTCTGAAAATTACAAACCTATGCTTACATAGTTATGCATATATATGCTTACATAGTTATGTATAAAGACACTAAATATATGTGTATATATACTTATGGATACATTCAGTTAAATAATTTTTAATTTGAGTGGTTTTCGTAGAATTTTGTTTCTTAAATAACTTTTCATTTCGTAACAACTTTTAAATAACTTGCTAACTTTTTAATGACTTTAAAAGGCAAAGTTAGGACAAACTGAAAAACAAAGCACCGAACCTGTGGATGTTAACTTTATATGAATGCTTTCTCTTTTCAGATTCAGGCAAGAGAATGATATGGTTGACTCAGCACCTCAGTGGGAAGCTGTATTGAGGAGACAAAAGGAAAAAACCCAGGCAGACCCCAACAACAGACGATCCAGACACAGATCTCGTTCGTAAGTGAACTCTTTTTCTATAGGGATTGGAAAACATTGAATTTTGAAATAGTTTGTGAATTCTAACTTTTGAAATAGTTTGTGGACTGCAATGTCTGTTTGAGATCTTCCAAAGTGTATTAATTCAATCATGATTATCCCATTGTCTGTCATATTTACTGCCTAGCTTTTGTGACATTCATTCATGTATCGGAAAATGTAAAAAATTGAAGTACAAAAAATGTCATTTAAAAAAGCCAAGACAATCAAAACCATATTTTGTTTTGTTTTGAAACCAAAACATACTATTCAACTGAATAAATAGGAGTAGTCTCTTTTGTCTGGAATCTGTTGGTGAAGATTCTCTCTGTTCCATGCTGTAGATTTCTAGTTCTCTCTGTTCCATGCTGTAGATTTCTCTGAAGTCTTGTTCCAGATTGAGTCAGATGTGAATATCTTCCCATCAAATTACAGTTTGTAAGCTGTAGTCAATAAGTGATTCATTATACCCTGATGTTGGGATTTGCCTACTTCTTCTGTTGCTAGGCAATACCTTGTGTGAGCAAAATTACCCCATAATGATGAGATTCTCAGTCCCTCTAATTTTTTTTTGAACTGATACCATTTACATGGATATTTTTTTAATGTGTGCATCATCTTGATTTAGACTTCCCACCCTCATTTTACTTCCCAAAGCATGTATCTTTTTAAAGTGGTCTGGAACTCACTACCCATCCTTTTGTGATCCTAGGTGGTTAGATATCCAGCATTAATTTACTCATGGAAGGGGGATTAATGTCTTAGATAAGGCAATTGAAGGATTCCAGGATGAGGATTCAGAAAAAAAATTGTGTAGGCAGATGGTGAGCTCTGAGAGTACCAGGCACCAGGGTGCCAGCTGAGGTTAAGAGAGATCTGGAGAGAGCAAGAGATGATACACCGCAGAACCCTATGTGACTCTAAAGGACTCTTCTCAATTCATAGATACTTTCTTTGTAGTTTTGATTTGCATTTCCCTGATTACAAGTGATATTGAACATTTTTTCATATGCCTTTTGACCATTTGTATTTCCTCTTTGGAGAAGTTTCTTTTTAGCTCTTCTGCCCAGTTTTTTTTTTTTAAAGATTTATTTATTTATTTATTTATTTATTTATTTATTTATTTATTTATTTATACAAGCACTGGGTACAGTCAGAAGCACGGGAGGGTGAGAGAATTCACCAGAGCCAGAGCGGGGAGCAGAGCAGGCAAAAGGACTGAAGAACACTGCTGAGGGGAGCAGCGGGCGGCAGGAGAGGTCTGCACGCCATGTGGGACCCTCCTCCGGTGGCCGAGGAGCAGCCGGGGATCGAACTGGTGCCGCAGAGGCTGCAGGCAGCTTCGCAACCCAGCGCTCAACCGCTGCACCACCGGAGAGGCCCTTCTGCCCAGTTTTTAACTGGATTATTTACTTTGATTTTGTTGAGTGTCATCAGCTCTTTGTAGATTTTTGTCATCAGTCCTTTATCATTAGTGTTGTGTACAAAATTTTTCTCCCAGTTGGTGGGGTGTCTGTTTTGGTTACTGTCTCTTTTGCTGTACAGCAGCTCTTTAATTTGATGCAGTGCTAGCTGTTTATCTTTGCCTTCACTATCACTGCTTTGGGTGATGTGTCTTTAAATATGCCATCTTAAACCGGTGAGAATGGCACATACTAAAAAACTAGCAACAACAAATGTTGGTGAAAACATTTGTTGGAGAAAAAGGAATTCTCCTGCACTGCTGATGGGAGTGCAAACTGGTCCAGCCACTATGGAATGCTCTGTGGAGATTCCTCAACCTGCTAAAGATGGAGCTCCCATATGATCCAGCAATTCCACTCCTTGGTATTTACCCAAAGGACACAGAATCATTAATTCAGAAGGGCACCTGCATGTTTATAGCAGCACTATTTACAATAGCTAAGCTATGGGAAGAACCCAAATGCCCAAAACTAGATGACTGGAGCAAGAAGATGTGGTACATATACACCATGGAATATTACTCAGCAATCAAAAAGATAAACTCATGCCATTTGCAGCAACATGGGTGGAGCTGGAAGGGATCATGCTCAGCAAAATAAGCCAGAAAGAAAAAGAAAAATACCAGATGGTCTCACTCATAGTAGGAATTTAGAAAACCTTAAATAAGGGACCAGGAAAAAGACTAGTTATAATAAAGTAAAAATCAAAATCAACAAGCAACTATAAACCAGAGACACACATTTGATAGGTCAAAACAAGGGGGGTGGGAATTGTATGGGGACTATAACCAAGATGAAAATGCATATATTGTGCAAAAATGAAAAATGATGTAAAAAATGTATAAAATAAAAAAAAAATCATAGATACATTCTTACTAATTAGAAGTTAACCCCAGGTGTAATTTTATTTTTATCAGTTGTACATCATTAAAGGTTTTATTCATTATTCCATAATCTTTTTTGTTCTGAACTTAATTAAAATGTTCAACTTAAAGCATTAATTGGTAATTTCCTTTGTCTTGTTACCACCATTTCCCAGCTCCATTAAAATTGAGAGATCTATATGTGGAAGAATCAAGACCTCATTGAAGACAGTTTAACCAAATGGCACAGACCCAAAATCAGGTCCCAGTCTAGTTATGGGTAACTCTATTGCCACTATGCTTACTTTTTAAAAATTTTTTAAAAATATTTATTTATGCATACAGGAACTGGGGTACAGGCCAGAGTTATGGGAGGTAGGTGCTAGGATTCACCAGAGACAGAGTGGAGAATAGAATAGCGGATTGACTGAAATACACTGCTGAGGGGAGCAGTGGGCGAGTCAGGAGTGGTCATCTGTGCCATGTGGTCAGCTCCCTGGCGGGGGATTGAACTCCGTGGTGCAGTGTCTGTGGACAGCTTCATAGTGCTGAGACTTAACCCCTTGTGCCACCAGGGAGGCCCTGTGAGGGACTGTTATACACAAGATTTGGTAACTTTGTATTATATTTTAAAAAGAACAATTTTTCTAATCATTTCAAAAGCATTCTAAGTTTAATTAACTGCAAATATTAAAATTTCATATTAAAAGAAAAGGAAAATTAAATTACATATAAATTATATACAAATTGTATACAAACCTTGAAGAAGTAGAAAAACCTTACAACAGGCAATATCAATATTAATTAAAATGGAACAATTTGTTTATAAATAGGATCAATAAAATAATCTAAAGTTGTTGAGTATCACAGTCACCATAATTCAAATATAGGACAAATATTTGTGATTGGATCTGAAATTTAATAATCAACTGAGCCCAGATTAATAATCTAAGCAACCTTTTTCTTTCAGTTTAGGTGAAATTTGCATAGAGTGAAATGCTATCATATAAGTGTACTAATCAAAGAGTTTTGACAAATGTATACATGGTATGTCCATTACATCAATCACGATATAGAATAGAAAAACCTCCCTCATGTTCTTTCCAGTCAATATCCATGCCCTAAAAGCAACCACTGTTCTGATTCCATCCCCATAGATCAGTTTATTAGATTAGTCTTATTGAACTTCATATAAATATAAGTACATAATATATGTCTTTTAAAATAAGGCTTCTCTCAACATAACATTTTTAAGATTAGTTCATAATGTTACATGTATAAACAATTATATAAAATTTTGAGTGTTAGTACATTATATGAAAATACTATAATTTGTTTTATCCATTGTCCTCTTGATAGACATTGGATTATTTCCAGTTTTTACTATTGTGTTAAAAGCTGGGGGCCTCCCCCGTGGCACAACGGTAGAGCGTTGGGTTGTGAAGCTGCCTGCAGCTTCTGCAGCGCCGGTTCGATCCCTGGCCGCCAGGCGAGGGTTCCACATGATGCCCAGACCTCTCCTGCCTCCTGCTGCTCCTCTCAGCAGTGTACTTAGTCAGTCTGCCTGTTCTGCTCTCCGCTCTGTCTCTTGTGAATTCTCTCACCTTCTCGCGCTTCTGACTGTACCCAGTGCTTGTATAAATAATAAATAAATCTTTAAAAAAAAAAAATAAGCTGTTGTAAACTGGGCCTCCCCGGTGATGCAGTGATTGAGTGCTGGGCTTCGAAGCTGCCCGCAGTCTCTGCAGCACCAGTTCAATCCCCTGCCACCGGAAAGGGTCCCACATGGCATGCAGACCTCTCCTGTGGCCCGCTGCTCCCCTCAGCAGTGCATTACATCAGTCTGCTTGTTCTGCTCCCCGCTCTGACTCTGGTGAATTCTCTCACCCTCCCGTGCTTCTGATTGTACCCAGTGCTTGTATAAATACATAAATAAATCTTTAAAAAAAAAAAACAAAACTGTTGTAAACATTCTGTACATGTGTATCTGTAGAGTATGTCATCTTGTGTAAATACTTAGGAGTGCAGTTGTTGGGTTAGAGGATATTTACATATTTAATTTTGTAAGAATTACCAAAATTATTTCCAAGGAGGGCAGTCATTGATCCATTTGTCTGCCACCTGTGGTCCTGGTTACTGTGAGAATGTATATGAAGCAGTGTAAATTCTCCAATTTTGTCCTTTTATTCAAGATGGTTTTAGCTATAGGTCCTCTGCATTTCTGTGTAAATTTTTGAATCATCATGTTAATTTTTACCAAAAAAATTAGGATTATGTTGAATGTATAGAGAAAATTAACATCTTAATCTGCCATTTATTTGGGTCTTTAACTTCTTTGACCAGTGCTTTATAGTTACTTTTCAGTTTGGACTTGTACAGTTTTGTTAAATTTGATCCTAAGTAGCTAGTATTTTAATGTTATTGACCTGTGTCTTTTAAAATTTGATTTTCTAAATTTTTGTTAGTATATTGGAAACAAATGATGTTTGTAAATATTGATAATGTATCTCACTATCCTGCAACCTTGTTAAACTGACTTATTTGTTCTAGAAGATTGCTTTTTAAGGCAATTTCTTAGGATTTTCTACTTTTATTCTTGTTTATAAACATAACTTTCCTTTATATTCTAATATATAGGAAACTTTTTGCCTTTTAT